CACAAACAAGATGCTTGGGCTCTGCTAGACACCTTAAAGCCAGACCTGGTCCTGCCCAGTAAGTCCACTGCAGCATCTCCTGTGCAAGGCCATGGAAAAGACTTACAGAGAGCACTCAGGACTGACTACATGGTGGCATTCACATCTCCTTGCACAAGGTGATGGGCTAGATGAATGAATGACAGTGGCTTCCTGTAAAAATACAATCACAACACCACACCTGACATCACTAGATCCTATTTGCATTGCCAGGGTAGATATTAAAGCAATAAAACTCCTACAGAGTGGTAAGGCTTGCCTTAATTTCAAAGCAGGTAAGGGGACCTAGTTAGCAGTCATCACCACCTCTGCCTGGTTTAATGGCTTAGATCTAGGCTCCCTGCTATCCCATACAAAACTTCCATTCATAATCCTACTCTGTTGCACTCAAAATCATGGAATGATTTGGGTTGGAAGGGAGCTTAAATATCATCTAGTTCCAACCCCCCTGCTATGGGCAGGGACACCTCCCACTAGACAGGTTGCTGAAACCCCCATCCAACCTGGCCTTGAACACATCCAGTGATGGAGCATCCACAACTTCCCTGGGCAACCTGTTCCAGTGTCTGACCAACCTCACAGTGAAGAGCTACTTCTGAATTTCTAATCTAAATCTGCCCTTTTCCTCGTCCTATCACTACAAGTAAAAAGTCACTCCATAGCTTTCTTGTAGGCCCCCCTCATATATCAGAGCTCTTCAACTCATTAAAGGAACTAATGAGTCTTAAGAGAGAGAAAAAATCTCCATGAATAGGAGAAATATGCTTCTCACCCTTTTAACAAACTGGGGTAACTGGACAGATACTTGGAGTGCTCTGTGGGAGGGCAATGACAAGGCAAAAGAAACAAAAGTCCCAGGGTAGTGTTCTGACCCTTCCCTTTTCCCAGCTGAGCACTTTACTGAATCCATGTATCATGGGGGAGAGAATGCTGAAGGAAGAAAAGCCAATTCCCTTTCACTGCTTGGTTTGTGCATTTAAGGACTCCTGGGAAGTTAACACTGTACAGGACTCAAATTTCCTGCATTTAACAAAGGCCCAAGACAAACAGAAAGACTGTCTGCTCAGCCTCAGAAAAGGGGCACAGCCTGCTTGCTGTCTCTCCAGTGGAGCAGGAGACTCAGAGGTGGCACAGCAAGCAATGTCCTGCCCCATGTTCAGTGCTTCTTCAGCTTCAGTCCCATGCTTCTGTATAAGCATCCTGGAAGGCCTTCTGACAGAGAGATCAAAGGAGATGCTGAACCCTGAACAGCCTCCTTCCTATTAAATAAATTCTTGAGGAAATAAAGACTCATGAATATGAGGCAGTGCATTCAGTTAGCATCTTCATGGCCTGTAGAAGACAGACAATGGCAAGCAGCCAAGAGATAGAGGTGACATTTTTGCCTGGAGCTTTTAAAGACCTATTTCCTTCATGCTACAGAAACTATTTGAAATCAAGCTTATGTTCCAGCTTTCAGGACACATACTTGGCACAGCAAGATGGATCAGCACAGGGAAATGCATGTCCCTCATCTGGTCCTGTAGGCCACCACCCTGCAGCCAGCATCATGCCAGAACACACTTCAAGCTACTGCAGGACCTCAGAGAAAGCCCCTCTATTTTTCCCAAGCACTGAGTTTCAAAAAAACACAATGCAGGATGGTTTAGTATTCAGATTACATTCTGCAGCAAAAAGTGACTGATTGGTTAAATTTTTACTGCGGTTTATTAAAGCACATTAGAGGACTTTGTTCTGACAAAATGTGGTTGATTGCTTTCCTCTCTGGGAACTCTACAGGCTAACTAT